TAACAGGACCGTCGCAATAGTATGCTGGGCTAATCGGTATTAATTAAACGTGTGCCTGAATACTTCATGAACAGCGTCCTGATGAATTCCTGCATCAGAGGCAATTGCGAGCGATGCTCGAACGCGCGCGCGCGCGCGCGCTAGATGGATTATCGCGGCGGATCCGATGGAAATATTTCATTTCTCTCGAGAGGGCCGATACCACCGTGGCCGCTTCATCCAGTATCGTGATTTGCGACAGGGAAGTGACACGACGTGTCGGAGGAAATGACGTTAATGAAATCGAAAATAATTTTACTCGTGATGAAATCTCTCCTCTTTTACCGTTCTCTTAGAGAATTGTGGTGAATGCACGAATCCATTTGCTGTTAAATGGTGTAAACCAAACTTTAGGAAGTTCGAAAAATAAGTATAAAAAATATCCAAAAGTGTCATTTTAAGTAAAAATTATAGTTTTAATAAAACGTTTAATTTTCATTTAATTTTCTTTAAAATTAATAAACGCTCAAGATTATTTCAAAAAAATACGGAATTCTTATATTGAATATTAGAAAGCCCAAAGTTTTACTTTTATTTCTTTTTATAGTTTTATATAGGTGTCCTACACTCTTTTACATTGTTTTATTGAACACATTAATGATGAAAATTGAAGAAAAGAGTGTAAACGAAAATAACGATTTCCGGCAGCATAATGAACACAGAGAGATGAGAGCATACAATTTCACCCACAGTTGTTTCTATGAGCCCTCGCACATCACTCCGTGCTTCCTCATCGGTCACAATAAGCGCGCATTATTATCCTTATCAGTGATTGTGATATCATAGGTTAAATCCCTATTATTGGTACTCCGTATATCAACAATGCTCTTAAGCTGTATGGGAAGGGAATGTCAATGCAGTCCTTGTAGTGTATATGTTACAATGAAGAGTCGCTACTAATACATTCCCTTCACCGTAAAGTTATCTATTTAGATAAATCTAACTTGAATCCTTCAACAATTGAGATGTAATTGTTTAAATTGATTTAAATCTTTTATTTATACAACCAGAAAAAAATCATCTTGAAGTATTGGACTTTAAAGTACCACCTTGAACATGTTTTTTTAAAATTATATTTTGTTCTGCATTCTTTCACACTACAGGAAGTGTTTGGCATGTGCGACTATATTTATATAGTTAACATAATTATATGATTAGAGAGAGCTCTATTTTTGTATAATTATTATTATGTTATGATAGTAATAATAATTATATTTATATATATAAGTTAATCAATTATATGATTAGAGCTCTATTTTTGTATAATTATTATTATGTTATGTTAGTAATAATAATTATATTTAAGTTAATCAATATATACATAGTTGGTACCAAAAATAATTATAAATATTAATTAATTTATGATTATTACAATTTTTTATTCTTTCAGTGCACTTATAACTAGTTTAAATTGAAAGTAACAATTTATTATAGCTTAATATCTATTAATTTTATAGGTAGAGTATACTTAAGTACTAATATATTTCTCATTTTTGAATATATCTTGTATAAAAATCTTTCGTATGCCTAAGTACATCATCAAGATTCAAAATTATATCCTTCTTTACTCTGGTAGACTACGACCACCTATCTTGCAATGATGCAGGGGAACGACAATTTCTCGGGAGTCGATGACACAAAATCGCCAAGTGCTCGCTATTGTTTTCACGAGAGCAGAAGGTAGAAGATGGGATGAACCGTCCCTCGCGATATCGGTTTGCCACACCGCGCGGCGAGAGAGAGAAAGAGAGAGAAAGAGAGAAAGGGGGAGGGTGGCCGCGGGTGGCTGCCACTGAATGAAGACAGAAAGAATTGCGCGGTCCGACTTTTTAATATCCAGGGATGATCTGTAACCGCAGCTCGCTGCGTCAGCTGCTGTCATTGTTATACATCCGGACCTCTTCAGCGCAATGACAATCTCTCGGGTTTTATTCTCGGAAACGAACGGGTGCTCCCTTCTGCTACTCCGTTCCAGTTTCCGTCGTGTGTATTACCGTGCCTTTCCAATGTCCTCGCGAAGATCGTCTTGATCACCGACAGCCTTCCTCTTTTTCCCAGCAACGAAGTCCCTCGACTTTTTCGTTTGCTTGTGAAAGCGAATCCACGTATGTGAGCAATGACTGCGTCGGTGGTTATCGTCGCCCTCGACTTTTCTCCGGTACAATTGCCAGGAAAGTGGTTTTCTCCGGTAGACCGATTCTCCGATAATCGTTGTACTACGATACTTAGTGCATGCGTGTGTACGTAAGTAAGGTTTGTAGCAATACGAAATCATAAATTACATTTATATTATTATAAAAGGAGTATAATTTAATCACTCTATAGTAATATACACTCAGGGGAAAAGTAGTGATAGTAACTATAAAGATGACAACTATAGAAGTTTTATATGTATGATATAATTAATGTACATAGTTAAGTAAACTATTTTATAATTAAATAATTTTAAGTTATCAAATAATTTATTTCCTCTCTATAAAATTCTTTGAAGTAGAATCTCTAAAGAGGAAGAATTGAACCAATTTTGAAAAAAAGTTAATTTTTAATTTTTAAGAGTGACATTTCTGCACTCTTAAGATAGAGAGAGAGAGATTTACTCTAAAAGTTTTAAAGAGTAACTATATGTATACATTTATTCTACATATAAAATTTATATAGTTAACTTCATATGATCACTATTTTCCTAAGTATACAGATTCAGCTTTTTTAAATACTTTAATCATAAGAAGAGTTCACTTAGTGGATTATAATGAATCAAATTACGGGGGGTGGGATTAGAAATTCAATCTCTAAAAAATATTTATACCTATACATTGCTAAGTTATGTATAGTCAGTAAGTTATGTATATCGAATTTTCTTTGGGAAATATGTTTCATCTCTAACATATTCCACTAACTCAACGTTAAGGATGACGCACGTAATAGGGGCCTGCCTTTCAGACAGTAGGAATGGTCAGGTATGAACACAAAAACTTCCATACACGAGGCGCGTTCGTTTCGCAAGATGTCGCAAAAACGAATATGGATACTGCTCGGGAGGCATCGAGAAAGTAGAAGTTGGAAGGAGGACGTTTAGGAAAAATGGAGGAAAGACACGGGGCGACCGCGGAAAGGCGTGATCGCCTCTTCGCATGTGCCCTCTCGACTTGGAAATATCATCATAACGGAGATAGACGCGCATCCGAGTGATCCTTCATGCAGTCTGCCATATGGATGGGTAGCACACGCATATATGTACGTGTGCGTTCGTTTGTATGGCACCCGCCACCGCCGCCGCCTTCAGCCCCACGGGAGCGGGTAATAGATTTATTGGACACCCGGTACGTGGGATATAGATATGGATGTTATAGGCGCTCGAGAGTTAGAGATACAACCCGCACTCCGGCGTGCCGCTGCCACAGCCACCCTTGGCAAATACGAATGGCACATCTAACTTTATGAAACGCGCACCACCCTCTGACCCTGTGGACAACGCAAGTTTAAGCCCTCGCTTACTTGCAGTCTACAGTAAAATTAGCGTCGCCGGTCTTGCGAGATCTTGCGACATGATTTATTCGTTTTTTCACACTCTTACATTGATACGTAAAAATATATCTCAATTTTTTTATCTCGGATCGTGCATTTGCGAATGTATAATATATAAAGTGTGTATAATATATATGATATTATTTTATTGTACGTATATATTAATATAAATCGAGATAAACAAGTTTTGTGACGGGAGGCACGTGGAAAATAGTATTATACGTTATAAAAAACATTCGAAGGAAGCGCGCTCGCGAACATATACCTAAATTCGACACATCGGGCAAGTGTTTCGAGGCTGCAGCGGTTCGTTTCGGAAATTAGAAACGTTATCGGACTTTCTCATCCAGCCCTATCGTTCTCCTCATAACCATCGCCGCGAGCGCGGACGAAGCTTTACGAGTATTGCATTTGTACTTGCAGAGGCCCGTATGTTCTATTAACGGCGTTAAACTGTCACACAATCGGCCGATGAACCTTCGTTTAGCTCAACTGTTATTATCCCTTGGTTAAACGCTTTCAAGCGCCCATAATTCCCGCATGAAGGTTCGCTCGATGGAAAACGTTGTAAGGTCATACTTTTACAAAAACACAATGTTGCGAGGACAGAGAACACAGCAATTAAATATTCTATTTTAATTTGCAATACGTTCGCACAACTTCATTTTAGATTATAGAAGGAAATAGTTTCTCGCTAATAATAATAGTTTATTATTTCTATTCCAACAAAATAAGTACTAAGCAAAGACAACTAATTTTATCAATATAATATTAATAACTGGATAAATATTTAATCAATCAATATCTCCATTAAAGAGTCTAATATTTAGAGTTCTCGTTGATAAAACTTAAACTAAGAGCTAAAAATTATTGCCGTTAAACCAAACAATTTGAAAGAAAATTTAATATAGCTAATTATAGTTGCTTTCATTTTAGAAGACACAATCAACACAAATGTCCCTCTATTCTTGGCATTCAATGACAAGCTGGAACGACACTTGTGTCAATTGTGTCTTCTAAAAAGAAAGCAGCCATAATTTTTAAATACCATATATATCTGTGCTTCTCTGTTTCTCTCATACGAGTTCCATTCGCATTATATCAACTTTCAACACTTTCGCCAAAAGATGAAATCTGTGAATTCGAACGCGCGTCGCGGCGCTACTACCATCGCGAACTTTGCCTTCGCGAGCTCTCTTATTTATGTGAAATTATGTATGTGTATACCTCGTACGGCGTCCGTGTATTGGTCCGCGAAGAGGCTAAGGGGAAGGGTGTGTTGAAAGGGCTGGTTTTGATTAGCTCTGTGTAGACAATACCCACCCTCTGATACCACTGTGATTCTCTCGCTTCCTCTATCTTCCTCTCTCTTTCGATCTCTTCCTCTTTCTCTCTATCGCAGCGCACTATTTCCCTTGTCCCGACCTTCCCCGTACCCCTCGTCGCCCATCGGCTGCGCCTTCTCCGCAGCGAACGCAGCAGCCACTTTGTACACCGACTGTTTTGTGTCTGACGAACAATGGACCTGCACCACTGACAGTGCACCACCACCAACATCACCGGCACCGACCGCCAGCACCGTCATCATACTGCTGCGCGCATAGTGATGGCCTCGATCTAATTGGCGAGTTCTGTTTCTCGACCGACTCGCGATAAAGGGAGATTCGATGTATACTGATAAGTATTAGGAGTTTCTAATTATTTGTTTTCCTATAAATAGTTAAATACTGAAGTATTAAAGTAATGCAACATTACATGAAGGTATAATAAGTCAGAAAACTATCAATCAATATTATACGTCAAATTTAGTAGCGGATAATATGATATAAACTTTATATAAGATAAGATACAATAAGATCGATATATTTAAAATGTATTTTATATTACACACGTATAAAAAAATAACATTTTATTATTCTTTAAGCTTCCACGTGTCATCGAAATTTAAATCACTACTTCTGTAATTAGTTTGAAAATAAGTAACGTTTATATTAATATATACACTAGTAAATAATAAACTAAATTGAACACATTTCAAATTTAACACATTTCCTTAAGTTAAATTGCCTAACTTCATTACTTTAGTTAAATTAATAACACATTGCGTAGGAGCAGTGACAACCTATAGAAATTTAATAAACTTACGTAGAGTGTATATACAATTTGATATCATGAATTCAAAAGTGTACACAAATATACATATCATACATTACAGAAGAAAAGAGAAGGCACGTTGATTGCGTTAAATGCTGAATCGTTCTCACAACTCGACACATATCGCGATAACTTTCTTCACGTTGTGAGCAACGAACGCTTGCAAACCAGTCTGGGTGTTTCGGCAACTTCCCGAGGTCGTTTCCTTCCGGGAGTACGTTGCGCCAGGACGAAGATCTAATCGCGCTCGCAATGTTGCACGACCGTATCGCGACATTATTGTGCGACGTTTTCGACGGCTGACGCTAAGTGTCGCAGGGATATTGTATTTCAGGAATACATTGTGCTCTGACTGTGAAACTTGCCGCTCCAAGTTCGGCTATCAATGTACGTCTCGCGAATGTATTTACGCGGTAAATTCGCGCGGCTTGACATCCCTTCGTCGATTCGACGCTGACATTGGTTCGAATTTATTTATGCGGCAAGCGAAGTCTTAAGTAAGTTATTCAGTTAGTTGATTGTTCATGCTTTACTTCGATTTTGAAGTTCCTATTTCGAACCTTCAGGGATTACACCTAGTTTGCTGATGAATTTAATTGTGAAGTCAATTGTTACCTCGTAGTTGATTGTTCATCTATCACAACTCCTATGGCTATGACACACCATAAAACGTAAACGGTAAAATATATATATTAAACAATTATTACTTTACGCGGTCTCTGTATAATTAACGGATTCACTTATTGTTTATGTCTTGCTACGTTACATTTTTTTCTTTGTGCTATGACTCTTACAGGCATTATAATTTATGCAAAAATAAATTAAAGTGCGCAGTGCGCACACAACACAAACTATGGAATTAGATTGCATTAAATAAAGCATTGTATACAACGCGGTTATTGTGCAAAAAATTCTCCTTGACACAGAAAAATTTAATTCGCAAATATTTGATCCAACAGAGTATAAAGAGTTTTTAAAACAGAAAAACTGGTCCGTAGTTGGAATATATTTCCCTCATTCGTTCACGGAGGGAAGTTCGATTGTTGCACATAATTGATTCTGCGTCGAAGCGTACTCTATATTCGCGGAGTCCCCCTTTCGGTGCGGAAATTAACACGAACTTGTGGAAAGTCGAGATGCGAGTACCCGAAGATCTCGTTGTGCAATTAAATTATGTGCATGAAACGTTGTTTCTACACCTGGAAAATCGCCTTCCCATAAACTTACTTTATATTAAATCAATTGTTCCTTTATCTAAAATCGATGTAAAATCGTTGAAAATTGTACCTGGTACACATTTACTTGCAAATTGTTTTAAAATAACGAAGCTTTTCTATAACTTTTCTAATGAGGAAGTGAAAGGAACATTACTGAACGGTTAAGATAATACGATGCTTATGAACAATGTAGATACGACGATTATTAATTTAGATAGACCAAAGTGGTTCACATAGATCGGCATAACTTTAAATTAGGATGTCGCGTTAATGAGATTTCAAGCGTGGCCTCCTTTCCGTGCGACAATTCATCCGCTGCGGTATATGTCAGTAACAGACGATCCACAAAATTATCAATACCGCTACGTTAAGTCTGCATGAATAAGCTCAAATGCACAAGCGTGTCGTAATCGTGATGGTTACATAAAAATAGGTCAAACGAGAAATAGGTTTACAAAATGAAATCGAACATTCGCGATCATTGAATAAATTTGAAACAATCTAATGACATCACTGATTATTATTATTATACAATATGAGGTCATCGTACCCAATACGATTCACTTGTTGTTTCAGAATAGAGAATTACATATATAGATAATAATTAAATGTTTACTGCACAATTGAAAACGTCTCATATTTTTTGTTAACCTTTACAGAACGGAAAAATCTCTATAATAACGCTAAAACGATATCATACTTTAAAAAAAAAAATATGAAATAACGAAATTATAATAAATTTTACTCAGAGAAAAAGTTGTAACATTTTAAAAATAAACTTCTCAATGTTGAACTCACAAGAGGAGTAAAAACAAAATACATTTCTACTTCTTTTTCTTACCAATAAAAATCTCAACATTTAGACCATATTGGATACAGATATTTTGATTAATTCTGCATCGAATACATATTATCGCCGTCTTTTAACTGATTTGACGATAATTTAACTTTGTTGGGACAATTGTGTCGATTCATCTATCCGGTGGCCTCGATTTTCCTTCCGCTTGCAGCTTTACACACACAAACTATTGCTCGTTATGCGTGCAACACCGACCTACCTCGTGTCCGCGGTATGAAGTATCGATATTATAACTGACCGATTTTCATTGGCAACGAGAGCGAGTATTTGCTGTTCATTGCCGACATTCCCGTCGCGTATTTCAAACAGCCTCTCTCGTGATGTTCGCGGAAACCTTCGGGGTGAGCGATAAAGAGCCTGGGACTCGCGAGGTGCGCAGCCCTCACAGCCGGTCTCGATTGGAAATTACTTCCTTTCATCCCTATTTACCGGGGTGAAAGATTAAGTAGAAAAGGCGCGGTCGCGTCGAGTATTGCCTGGCTTGCGCCGTGACGAATATATATATATTCCCGAAGTACATGGCTCGGCAGCTAAAACTGACACGTAGATGCGGAGGAGACTGTAAGTGCCAATAATAAATGTACCTCGGGTAAAATGCCACTTTTTGAAATAATATTTATGTGTCTGGAAAAAATCGTGAAAATAAATATTTCTTTGAAAATGGATTTTTAAAAAAATCCATTTTCTCTCGCGCGCGATGTCTATATAGATAGAACGTATAGTATAACACGATATTATTTGTTATCTGCCTATTCGAAAATTTAGTTTACCAAATACAATTTTCATCGGTCAGCGATATTTTCAGGCGAATATCGAATCGTCCGCCAAAAAAAGAAGATCTCGAAACGCTCGCACCCCTGTCCCGCTACCGTTCCTTTCACCGCATGTTCTGCCACGTAGAGCAGGCATGCATCGGCTGGCGCGATCGATTTGGATTTAATTAAAAAATGTTTAACAAGCACGTCGTCTCCCCCGCCTCCTCGAGCCGCGTAAATATCCTCCGCGGCCGTGGCGGCCGAATTCCGCGGTTAATTTCCTTGACGTACAGCCGTTGGCTGTTACGCCGAAATAAAGATAAAACCAAGCCGCGTTGCGAGCTCGTGTGTGTCGAATAATTGCTCGCGATATTAAGAATTACATTGACGATCGCTTAATGTAATGAGGAAACGAACGTTGGCTTGAACCCTGAACGTTACATCGCGTGTCGCGCTACTCAACAGAATGACGTACAGTGGCGCGTCCTAAGGAGCGTTCCACGCGTGCCTATCTCTACAAGGTAGGACAAACCTTAGCACGAAATTCCAGACGCATCTTTTTATTGCGTAAATAGGAGGAAAAAATCTCTAGACTAAAGTATAGGTTCATGCAATTTCTTTCATTTTCGTTTAAATCGAGAATAAGAACTATAACAAAATGCTTCATCATAGCATAGCTTAGTATAAAACTATGGACCAATGAACACTTAGCATAAAGTCACTGTATTGATTTACATAACATATTTATTGATCCAGACGGTCTTATGCTAGTATGGTAATATTATACATTTTGTACTATAGGCTATACGATAAAGAACAATTTTAATGTATAAATGTAGTAAAAGAGTAGATAGATAAATAGATAAAGCGTTTATTATAATATTCTAGGATAAGTACTCTAAAGTAAGAATGTGAAACATGTTATGAAACTATATTATAGTAACTCTAATGAAACATAATTAATAAGCATACACAGGAAAATTACAATGAACTAACAAAACGAAGAGAAATATAAAACATAAATGCAATGATATAAAAAAAGAGAAATGTAATAATAAAACTAGTACTGGAATTGTGATGAGAATTATTAACAGTATAACAAAACAAAAAATAAAGTACAATGCAAGTAGGACGATACAATAATTTTTATTTTCGAAAAAGTATAAGTGTTATATTTCCGATTTTCGAAAAAAAAGGGATAAATAATTGTGTAGTGTGTGTAGTTAAACCGATAAACTGACCTCGCAGATAGCTCGATGGGTAAACAAACATTTTAATACACCACGACAATGTTCTCTTCGTGGTAGACCGCTAATGCTTCCGCTCTGCGTCCGCGAGTACCCGAGACGAATTAAATACGCGTTGGGAGAGAAGAGAGAGAGAGAGAGAGAGAGAGAGAGAAAGTTTGGGGTGGGCTACAGTATTGGATTTGTTCATACAAGCGTTCGTGCGCGCTGCGGCACGGCGCGCCAGCAGGAAATCTGACTTCGCGTGGAATTTTTTAATTAGCAAAGGACCTGAAAAAAATCCAATGCCGCGATAACCCGTTACGAACGAGCGAATGAAGTCGTCGTTGCGCTATAAAGGTGCGCGCACATTC